GTGTTTTAGGATTCTCTTTCTTTAATGGTTACGTAATGTATCTTGCACATCTGTCTCAACTGTCAACTTCAGTAATGACGATTTTATATATTTTTAGGACTTTTAGCACTTACTCTTAAGGGTATTACAACCGTAAATTATTGTAAACTTTTCATTGTATTATGTGTAAATGTACTTTAGACTTAGATCTTAGATGTACGTCTTCGTAGGCACTAGCTTTAAATATCATCGTACCGAGTAAGGTGAAAAGATATCAATTATAACCAACGATAGCGCCAGGAATGTGCGACGAACTTGCTCAGCACAACGAACAACAGTAAATCACAGCTCTTTATGTCCGTTATGTTTCCGAAATTTCCGTTATCTTGGTTACTGTAACAAAATCTTAGGCAAAAAGGCGAACGCAGACGCTAATTCGGTCAAAAAAGTGTAAAAACTCGGCACAGAAGCTGAAAGCATCTGCAAAGCTGAGAATAAATTTTCTTTAATTAGAGGTTACGAGTGGGAATTATCGTTCTTTTAAGAGAGATTATTTCTTATTAAGAAAAAACATGCCCTCTGGCTGTTTTGACTAATGCCCTTCAGGTGTTTTGCCCTTGCATATTCCAAAATAAGCTAACCTCATCATCTAATAACTAGTCAGTTTTTAGAGGATTGGAGACAAACTTGCTCAATGATTTCAGAAACAGTCCATAAGTTTGTTTGTATCTTATTTGTTGGTTTGTTTTAATCCAAAGTATCGAAACTAAATCTACCTAAGAAGTATCTTTTCCGCAGTCTGCTTCGCCCTGCCGCGCAAAAGCAAAACAAAGAGAATTTGACCTCTAGAGTGAAGCTCGTCTAAAAGTGGAAAAAAAGTTCTTTGTTATCTAAGATAAGAAATAACATGCCCCGGCAATATATTTACCTAGTTTCGTTTTCATACTACTTGTCATGCAAGAGGGTCTTAAAGACGTTAAACATAATACGTTAAAAGGCCAAAAAAAACAACTGTTACGCCCAAAAAGTGACAAATTTGAGCCATTAGTTGTAAAATATGTGAACCGTAAAGTTCTTCTTTTAACAGTAACGAAAGTTAGTTAACTTTTAGCCGTAAAACAGGCGATATTTTAACTGCAGCCAGTATGTTATGCCTTCATACTGTTACTCATGCACGGATGATCAAAGCAGAGGTTTAAAAAGTCAAATTAAGCTTCAACCATTGAAGAGGGTGACAGAGGGTTTATATGTGCTGGGCAATTAAACCTAAAGTTAATGCGTGATGCGTGAATTTTAAAGAAACGCGATAAAATTTGAAATTTTTTCTTTTAAATTCGTGACATGTGGAATACTGTTTAAAGCGGACAGGCGAAGCGTAAATTTGTCTGATATTTGTGTGTGAAACGGGATTAGGAACCCCCCCTCCCCTCCCTTCTTTGATTTGACAAAGCAAACTTTCAAACTTGGCTCACCATAGTAATAGCAGTGGCTTTTTCTGTAGCTTACTGGAGGCAATTGACCTTAATCTCGTTTGTGGCTAAAATGTTAAATAAAACTGAAGCCTACAGNAATGGTTTGGTATATGGCTGGTAGGTGTTTTGGCTGAGGTTAAATGTGACGTCCAGGAAGTTGATTACTTGTTTGTTAGCTTCTATGGTGATGCGGAGTCCGTTAGCGTTAAAAATGCGGCATATCTCTTTTTTGATATTTTCAGTGTCCCTGGGTGTGGCGTCGGTTGTGGCAAGTGCGTCGTCTCGGTATAGACCAATGTTTATGTTGAGATTCTGTAGCTGGGACAGGAGGAAGTTTCCGACAAGTTCACAGGTTTCGGCGCCGTCGAAGCTGCCCATGGTTACGTAAAATGTAGTGTTGCTTTTTTTTGCCAGGGTTGCTGTTTGTGGATTAAAATCGAGCTTTTGTCATGAATGTTCCTTTCGTCGGCGGTGTTGTTGTCAAAATCAGACGCGAAGTTGAGCGCTTTGTTTAGGAGGTCTAGGCTGATGGATGGGTAGAATTCTTCTATGTCGAAGCAGATGAAGTTAGAGTTGTTTTTGTTGTCTATACATGGAAACCAGTTGATAACGGCTGAGGTGTTTTTCCATAGGTTGAAGTTGCTTTTTCTCGCGATGTTGGTGTTGATGCGGTCGAGGATTTCTTTGCTCACTTTGCCTATTTTGGATTTCGTCAGGTTGATCAGGCAGCATGTCGGTTTGTTTGGGAAGTTCGGTTTGTGGTCTTTAAGTGTTATGAATGCGTCTTTGTTGGCTGTAGTATCTATCCTGTCATCGATTTGTAGTTTTGTCGCGATGTCTTTGTTTGTTTTATGGATTGCTGAATTGTTGTGGGGAGGGCTTTCTTGTAGGATTTTGTTACGTTTTTTTTCTAGAAGATCGTTGTATTCTGCAGGTTCAAGTTTGTAGAAGCTAGTAGTTTTTTCTGCTGGGACCAGTAGCTTGGGTTCGTTCTTGGTGTGGTTGGTGTCTTCTTTTAGTTTGTTGAGGAAATAGCTGTTCACCTGCTTGAATTTTACAGACTGTATCATCTTGAACATGTCGTCCTCAAAGTCCTTTAGTTCTTCGATCGGTGGAGGGTTCTTAGACGATTTGAAGACGTAGTTCTCTTTGGATGTGGGTGAGTTGTTAGGATCTAGGACGAAGTGGGCCTTCCAGCGCATTCTGTTCAAGAATTGGCTGGTTTTTTCGATGAGACGTTGTAAATAGTCATTGCGCGATGGTAACGGAATATTCTTGGTAGAGTAGCTGAGGTTGAATTTTTCCATGCTACGGGCTGCCGTAGAGTGCTCAACAAAAACTTGGAGTGGTGTAGAGGGATTAAGTTTGGGGTCCGTGAAACAGTACAAATAGTACACCCGCTCTACTCTACTATTTGTATCGAGCACTGTTTCACGGACACCAAGCTTAATCCCTCTCTCTATATATAAATATATATATATGACTTTCATTATGCTGATTGGCTGAGAACTCGTGAATTAATCTCAAACAGTGCATAAAGCTCACGTAAAAA